ACACAAGTTAAGACAAAGAAAATAACTCAAGAAAGATTACGCAGAATATTGATATAAGAATGGGCCAATGAGTAGTTAGTAAGTTGATTCAGGAAGGGCCTAGTTATTGCTAGACAAAAAGGATACAGACAAATCAATAGATTGTGCAAGATAAACAGAATGAACCCCAACATGGGAAATTCAGTCCCACGGATATGACATCATGACCTTGGGAAATATTCAGATAGGACATCATGACCTTGGAAAATATTCAGATAGGAGTTGGGATAGTAAAAGGTACCATATGAGTATTGCGGAAATAAAAGAGAATGTCACTGCGAAAGCAATCAAAATATTAGTTCAGAAGCAACCCTACAAGCACAAGGGCGTGGAGGTAAGTAACTACGGATAATTAGAGGCGAGGAAGAACGCCAAAAATTCCATCGGGTATACGATGTAATAAGCTCTCATCCTTACAAGAGTCAGAGGGTCCTCCCTAAGTACTACAATGGGAGACTAGCTGAGGAAATACTGCAACCTAAATATAGTAACTCGAAGGAGAAATTGTCATGTTAAAGCAGTCTCACAACCGAAGGTAATATTCGAGACCATATGAGTTGCACAAGAATTCCGGCATGTGTGGGAATTAAGATAAGCTAAGTATGCACGCAACAAGGGGGCAGAAAGACCATGAAAAGTAATAGCTTACGTTTAAAGAAAACTGAGAAAGAACGAAAGGAATCATTCGATCAATGATCAAGAGTTAGCTACGTTATGATCGCACTTAAGATTTTGGAGTATTATCCATGCAGCATATATGTTGACATCATACAACCGTAGAAGGCTTCGGTATAAGTTAAAGAAAGGATTAAGCCCATGAAAACAAGAAGAGCAGATGGTTTTTCTGAGTTATACAAAGCTTACTATAACATGAATGAACTCAAAGGAGTCTAAGACTAATAGCATTTAGAAGAGATGGAATGTTGCCCTGGTAATAGAATGAGGGTGTAATTGTAATAGATAAAGGATGACGTTTGGGCCTTTGATTGAGTAATGATCTGACGAAGAAAAGAAAGGGATCTCATGAATTGGACAGGATTAAAATACCCACGCAAGGTGAATCAACAATGGATGGATAAAAGTTATAAAGTATGAGATGAGGTTAGGCCGTCATTATTAAGATGAACAGTAATGTGGAAGCATTAAAGGACATAGATTTATACATATTGGATAAGCAATGAAAGTAACCTAGAATTTGGTAGCAGACCTCAATAACGAGAAATCGAGGTAAGAATTATGGTATAGTATGACCTGCTTAGATGTAGTAAAGTCATATAAATGGATAACCGGGTCTATGAAATAAGATATAGCAATATTCGTAAGTTCAACAAAGTACCGAGCGAAGAACTTCAGTATACCCATAGATGCCCAGAGGGACAACATATCAAGCTCTATATATATTTACAACGTGAGACCTAGAGATTGGCTAAAAACTGGAGAAAAATGAGAGAAGAGTCGCATAGGCGCACATACAAGGAAAAAGTCGTACAGGCTGTATGACAAAAGGTAGCAACGGTTACAAGATTGGAAGGGGTCTGACCACAAGTCGTGGTATGAGAAAGAGGACTAGAGGGGGGAATTCCCTAGACTTTGGATTTATTCAAAGAAGAGTTGCCTACATGGATAGAAGAGTATTAAAGTGTTCGCAAGAGCTATGGGTTATGAGAATGATAAGTGCATCAATCAACATTCGAGGACGAATGTTCCAAAGGGGGGAATGATGTTACACCCCATATTTTCGTACATTAGAGTATCTGTAAGTCAATTGATGTAAGCTTAGAAATGAGATCAACTTTGAAAGTACGTAAATTAAGTTAATCATTTTACAATGGAGGTTACAAATATTTAAGATCATGAATATCAAGTACTAAGAGGGTTTGAAGGCTTCGAAGCTAAATGAATTGAAGAAAATAAGTTTCGTCAAAAGTCGACAAGTTGGGAATATTATAACATGTACTTTTAGGGTGAGACTAGGGTGATTAACCTTGTAAGGAGATTATGTTATGAGTTATTTTAGTTGTATGATAGTCGTGTGTCATGTTTTGAAGTTAAGAAAGTTGTGAAACAAAAGTTGGAAAAGGTGATCACAAGTTACATGCATAAATATGGTGAAAATTAGGTCAAATGTAGATGAGTATTTTTCCCAATGTACTTGTAATTACGGGATGATCTACCTATAAAATTGAAGATTTACGAGTCTAGTTTTCAACGGATTAAACCATTCATTGATACAATATTTGAGTAGAAAGATATTCATATTTTTGCGAGACTGCGCAAAATGGTAGGTGACAAGTAGGTGCATCACCTACTTGCCAAAAGGAGAGGCCACAATTAAAAGCCCTAAAGTCGGCCAAGAGGGGTGTTTTAAGGACATATTAACTCATTTCATTCACTTATTTCTCAAACCAAAAAATCAGATTGAACCCCTGCACCTCCTCCCCAAAAATCCCACACAAACACTAGGTTATTTCAGATGTTACGATGTGATTCTAGTGCCGAAAACCCCGGACAACTTGCTAGTTTCTCTTTCCCCTTCATGTAGCTTCGTTGGGGGAATGATTTTTGATGGATAAGGACTAGGTTTCGTGGTTCTACTCAGTCCAAAATGAGTTTATGCTTCTCCTTCCATTATCTATGCTTGTACAAATTATAACTCGTCCGTAAAGACTAGACCTAGCGAGTTTCGAATGAGTGGTATGTTGTTTGTTGTTGCATCACTGTTGGCTGGTTGTGAACTTATTTTTAAGTTGAATTTATGGCTGATTTATAGGATAAGAGTCTTAATTATGTACTGTTGGTTGTGTTGCTCAATTTGAAAGAAAAGACAAGTAAACATGTTTTAGTAAACCGAAAAATCAATTTTGAGTTGTTGAATTGTGGACTGTTTTGTGTTGTTGTTGGGTTGTCTATTTTGCTACTGTTTTTATGGAGTTTGGGAGGATAAAGAGTGTGGATAAACACCACATAATGGCAGGGTGGTTGGCTGGTCGTTCGTCGTTACATTTTTTAGGTTGTTGGACACTACTTTGGTTGTCGTTTTATGTATGGAGTGATTAGGGTGTGTAGACAGTTTTGTGGTATATTGTGATGGAGATAAGGTTGGGACATGATGCATACATGTGGTTATTGTTGTGTTCTTGATGTTGTTGGTACATGGTATTGGAGGAGGGCCTTGTTATAGGGGAGATGCTGCCAAATTTACGTAAACAAGCTACTAGTTTAAGTTACGGACTTAGCCTTTACTCAACACTGATTTTGAATTTCCTTATGTTGTGGTAGATTGAGTTGAGTTGTTTGAAGAATAGCATAGAAGGTATTAAGGACTCAACGGAGTTAAGGTATGTTAAGGCTATCCCTTTTTTCTTTTGGCATGATCTATATGACATGAACGAAACGAGCAAATACACAACTTCCATAAATTACTCTATTAGTAGAAATGCTAGAGATGTGTATGTTCTTATCCTCCCATAAGTCTTATTATTCTATCGTCTGTTCATGGATCTCAGAAAAATACGTATTTGATAAAGTTTATCCGAAAGTCATATTGAGTTTTATGCATTCCGAGAAAATCTTATTAACGTATTTCTTATGCATTTCATGCATTTATACATGTACATTGACCCATGACTCAGACGGCATTATATACGCATATATATATATATGTATATATATGTATATGAGTTATGGGAAAAGGTTATGGCGTTATATATGCACCACCACCTGATCAGCTGGTATATGTTGACGATTTTACCCACAGTGGCCGAGATGATATGATGGAATGCCCTCAGAGGCTGGATGATATTATGAATACATGTACTTATGCATGACATGATATTCATACGCATATGCATGACATTATAAGTATTTCACAATTTACAGAGTTAATCTAGACTTACAGGTTGAGTCATTTACTCTATATTTCTTCCATGTCTTTTACGTACTTATTTAGGTGCGTTACACACTCGGCACATTATTCGTACTGACGTCCCTTTTGCCTGGGGACGTTGCGTTTCATGCCCGCAGGTCTTGATAGACAGGTCGAGAGTCCTCCAAGTAGGCTGTCAGCTCAGTGAAAGGGTTGGTGCGCTCCATTTGCTCCGGAGTTGCTTCTTTGGTCAATATGATTAGTACATGTATTGATTGGTATGGCGGGACCCTGTCCCGACCTTTATGACATTAAGTATTCTTAGAGGCTTGTAGACAGATGTCATGTATACGGATACTTGTATGGCCTTGTTGGCTTATGTTTCGAGTATGTAAAGAATCATGCCGGCCTTACAGGCCCGTACTTCATATGTATAAGTTTGTATTCCCTCATGCTTTACTCCGGTTTACTTACCTATAGAATGATATGAAAAATACGTTATGTTGGTACTCGGTTGAGTAAGGTACCGGGTGCCCGTCGCGGCCCATCGGTTTAGGTCGTGATAATTTACTTCCTAACATCAAATAAATGAGAAAGGTTGTAGTAGGTTAATAGCTGATGAAAATAGTCTAATTATTATGAATCTTCTGAATACCAAAGTGGATCTGGAAACTAATTTGGGATTGGGAATTGATGGATATATTCACTTGATATAAATTACAAAAACATTATCTCTGGTTGTGCATAACGTAGTGTCAAACAGACCTCAAAATAGTGGTGATATTGTGTATAGATGATTCAACCACATGGCAACATTCTCGACTTGTAAAATTAATTGTGATTTACTTCCATTGGTCTGCATACCATGAAATGGCCAACAATTTCGAGACAGTAAGCTTGTAATCATTGGTTAAGGTTTTAGGCTTTTAGCTACTTATCACTCCATTAGAACAAAACCATTTTGTCATTTCCCAATTAGGGAGATCGCTAGTCCTTTACTTAAAACATTGTCTTTTTGTCATATTTGTTCCAGAACTTGATATGCAATATTGCAGGATTTGCAGTCAACATACAACATTGTGATTTGAAGATAGTCTAACAAAATCTGTAGTTCATCGGGTGAACTATGTCGTAGGCATATGGCAGTCTGAAAAGTCAGTGTTTAGTTCTTCCAAGAACGAGCCAATATTGATAATTAATACTTGAAGTCTAAAATATATGTACATAATCCTATCAGAACTAATATACAAAATATCATGATATATTCTAAACGTGGAATGGTTTCCGAGGTGTTGGAGATCGATTCTCCAGTGACTGCAATCTTTGTTTTAAATGAAAAACTTCAACCTGCAAAAGGAAAGGGTATTCCATGATTAATTACAATGTCATTGTATAAGACGAACTGAACTGCCAAGAAAGCAACATCAAGCATAAAAACAATTGAATCTCTCCGGTATCTGCTTATGATGTAACTGTAATAAGTCACATGATTAGAAGAAAAACTAATAAATTTCCAAGTTGTCATCTAAGATGTAGAGAGCAATTATACATACGGAAAAAACCAATTGCATAGTTTGAGTGGTAAATCTCAATTAAAGCAGTCGTATCCTAAAGGTGTAAAGTTGATCTTCACCAGGTCCTTCCGCATCCCCTTCCCCTTACCCAATCACCCCCCCACCCCCAAAAAAAGAACTAAATGATAAATAATGTTAATTTGCTTATGCTTCCTCTATTGTCTAGTCTTAGGTTTGTGATCATACCTGCAACTGGAAAGCTCTTGCTCTTTCTCCAGCAAGGACTCCCCTTGTTGTATGCAGTTCCTGCATCCAATGTGTAGACATTAAACTTAGTAAGAGTGGGCTGAAAAGTTTGGCTCAGACATGCTAGGTATGGATAAACCAATAAAACCGCTTTCTATACCTTCTGGGTATCATCGAGAACTGCCTTGAGGAAAGCCACATCATGCTCAAGCCTGACATTATCGGAGTGGACAATGTTGGATAAGCTATTAGCCTCTTCCTGAGCCAATTCAACACTAGCTAGCTTTTCTTTAAGCAACTCCACCTCCTTTACAGTGTCACCCATCCTTTTTTCCATGTCCTGTTTACTCTTCAGAGCAGAAGATAAATTTTTCTCTGCTGCTTCACGGTTAGCCAATGCAGCTGCCAGCTGTCCTTCTAGAATTTCGTTCTTTCTCATTAGGGCAGAAAGTTTGGCTTCATACTGCTGACAAGCACCTGATGAAGCTGTTAATCCAGCTTTATAATCACTTTCTTGGAAGACAAAATCATCAGTGTCTTGAAAAAAGTTTCCACTTGCTTGTCTGTAATGATTAGGCAAATGTCCAGATTCAGTAATAGTAGACATCTCCTCTGTAACAATTTTTCCTCCACTGCTGCTTGTTTTGATGCCTACGTCAAGTTGTTTAGCTCCTTGTTCCTTCGATTTGAAGATGAATGAAGCATCAGTTTGAATCAAAAACACGACGTCAAGTAAACTTCAGAACATCACTTGATTGAAAAATACAAATCTCTCATTGTCGTATCATATAGCCCACTTAATTTAAAAAAAATTACTAGCAGCAAATCTCCTGAATTAAAAACACCTCGCAACAGAAATTTCAATGTTCAACAGATAACATGTTGTCATCAAGAGAGAGCTAGGATATTCAGGGACTTCGGACAAAATTGACCAAAAAGTCCAAATTCTTTCCTATCTAATTCAACCAACAAATCATCTCAATCCTAACCAGTATCCTATTTCATAGCCCTGTCCATAGAAAATCCAAATATAGAACACTTCGTTGGATAGGTCATATATACCCATCGATCTACTCAGGGCGGTGAGATTGTGAAGAGTGAAATACCAGAATAGTTGCTTTAGTTTACCTGTGAAGGACTTTCATCACCTGAAGTCTTAGGTATCTTTGCACCGGCGTCTTCATCATTGGAAAATTGCTTGCGAAGCGAGACATTACCAGACACAGAACTAGGATCAACGAGTAAAGACTCTGACAACGATTTTCTGCCAGAGCCATGATGCTCAACCGCAGAGGCTAAATTCTGTCTCGCTATAGAATCCACATGGGAGGTAGAAGTACCATTAATTGGCTGAGAAGCAGCAGGCCCAGTAGATGCCAAACGATTCCCATATAGCAAGTTCCCAGCAGCTTTACTTAAACTTGATCTGCGACCCATTGACAATTCATTTCTTTCCATAATGAGTACCTCAACCTGTAAAAGAATGACTAGATGAGGCAAAGCAAACACTTTGTATATGGGAAATTTGATTCTACGAATATAATTATGTCAACGCTAGCTAAAGATTATTATAATGCAAAAGTTCTGGTTTCCATGTCACCTCATTTGATGGATCTTTCTTGAAACCACCAAAAGCCACAAGAAAATCCCTTTCCTTATGCTGCACAAGGACGAGGCTGAATCCCTGGCATTCATACAAATGTTAAAAATATACTTACACGTGCCATCATGCAGCACAACCTAGAGCTGCATATAATTTTGTTAAAGTACAGGTTCGACCACCAGATCGTAGGTGCACTGTTTAATATAGCACACGATGAAGTCCTTAACAACCCTTTTGCTTTAGAAAAGTTTTACATAAACAAAAAAATTTGCCCTACGGTTAAAATATTTAATTTACATTTGAAAGCAAACCGTTTGTTTTTGCTAATAATTTAACAAAAACCAACCAAAATATTCTTCTAATTTTTTTTGAAACACTAACCCAAAGTCCAAACACATATTTTCAAAATCATTTCCAAAACTTAGACAAAAACAGAATTGGGATTGTAGTTAGTCAGAGGCGGCAATACTGAAGGCAGCGGGTGCACCCACAGCCGTCAACGAGGTGTATATATAGTTGAAAAGTTAAGGAAAATACAGATTTATACATAATCTGAACCCATTGTAAAAGAAAAGTAGTGAATGCAGTGATTTTCACACATTTTGATCCACCCATGAGTCCAGTGGTTGCAGCTCCAGACTGCACCACTTATGTGCAGGTTCCTATCCCTCTAAAGGCCCTTCCTTCTTCTGTCTTCTCCTGCCCCACTCTTCTATCTTCTCTCCCATAGCCTATGGACTACTCTCGAAAAACTAGGAACTTGAGTGCTATAAAAATGGTACTTCCTTTTCTATGAATACAAGAAAACAACCTTTTTGATGAAAAAATACAAGAAAATATGTAAGTTAGCTAGTTACATATTCAATGATATTTGATACAAATTCTAATGATTGTACTTTCACATGCAATGACAAAGCATGGCAAGATCTTTTTGCTAAGGTTCACAACATATCAAAATACTTGAGAATTTAAAAAACATTATGAGTTAATTGACGTGAAAAATCCAAACACAGCAGCAGAAGGCAAGAACATACTGTGAGTTGACTGACATAAAAGTTCATAGGCAAAATGGCAAAAGGCAGATGCATGTATTAAGATTGTGAGACAGTGAAAACTGAAATGGACCTTGTTAGTTGTGATAGAAGATGCTGGTGAAGCAACAGCAACAGACCATTCAAGTTTTAGAACATCAAATATTAGAGTCTCGGCATGTCCTGAAGGAACGAAGTATAGTTAAGTAACAAGAATGGAAACAAATGCAAGAAGGAGAAACATAAATTGAAAAATTCAGAAAGCTTAAGTACAAAATAGGTTCCTATTAAATGCATTTCTTTATTGAGAGTATATCCTAGAATCAAAAGGTGATGAACCAGAAAGCTGCAGTTATTAGCTATTACGACATACTTCTTTTCCTGCTACCACCCCCAGCAATATACCATTTAGTTCCACAGAGCACTCCACAAGAACCAGCTCTAGGTGACGGATGGAATCCCCGTATTTTAATTCTTGACCATGCCATCTGAGGTGAACATGAAAATCTAGCATTACAATGTTACATACAAAAGCAATATGCATTCATTCAGGGAAAGAACAGGTGAAGATTTTATTCCACAAACCGTCTCAAAATCAAGCGTGTACAGGTCATTTAACGTCCTAGACTTTGATGATCCACCAAAAATCAGGAGCAATTTATCATCATAGAGGGCAGCCACATGGTTTGATCTTGGTGATGGACCTGCTCCCCTGCATGCATGCGCTAGTAATCAAGAAATAGACCTGATAATGCCACCATTTTGTAGAGTTAATGGCCCAAGGAGCAGGAACATTAGTAATGATATGAATGATATATCCTTTAGCAACTCACGTGCAATGAAGCGGCAGCCATGTCAAGGATTTAAGATCAAACATGTGTAGATCATTTAGCTTCCTCCTCTTTGCATCTTCACCCCCAAATAAAATCAAAACTGAGCTTGCTCTAAGAACACTATGACCACTACGCGCAACCTGTCCATTGAATTGGCCAGTTACAAAAAAACAAAACTAGAGATGTTGCATTGCAGGTATCCACAACAAACTAAAGTGAAATCTTTACCATTTTCCTACCATTTCCTTTTATCTTTAAGAGTAAGACAGTTACCTCATGTAAAGGAGAAATATTATAGAAATCTACTTCACTGGACTTGGTGAGACGTGGTGCAGAAATAACTATTACACTTTCTTTTTGATAATGGATACATTGGAGTCTGCTTTAATCGTATTAGGTATTAAACTTGTTAGTTTGGTAGTTAACTAGTATTAAATAACCTTAATCCCATATATATTAGGAGTAGGACATGTATTTTATATATATATATATAGGGCTTATTGTATCATTGTTAAGATATATGAATAATATCATATTTTCTCCCGTGCATTCTCACATGGTATCAGAGCAATTGTGAGAGATTTATCGCTGTGCATAAATTCCAGCGATTCCGGGAAGAAAAATCAGTCACCGGAAGCCTTTTTCCGGCGACTTTTTCAAGGTTGTTTGCGTCTGCGTTGTCTCTGTCAGTGTTGTGCAAAATCCAACACTACCACAAGAGTCACCACGGTCCGGCGACCAAACCCCAGAAAAATCTCCGGCAGCAGCCTCTCCACGCGCCCCCGCGCGCCACGAGAAGCTCACGCGCCGACGCATACAGCATCTTCCGGCCATTTTTTGAAAAAGTTTCTTCAGAACAGTTGGGTCGTCTACCAATTCCGACCCCACCCATACCGTTTTCGTTTGATTCTGACCACTTTGAGTTTTTCCGGCGACTATACTAATTTTTCCGGCAAAAACAGTGTCTCCTTCGTCTGTTTCAGCGAGTTTTCAATTGATTCTTTCTGTTATTTGGTGATAATTTTATAGACCTCACTTCAATCCAACGATGTCTTTGGGAGTCGATGCTTTCGGGTCTAAAAACCCGGGCTCTGGCAGTTTCGGTGTTATGATTACCTCAGAACCTTTAATGGGAAGTTCAAACTAATTAGCTTGGGCCTCGCCTGTCGAGTTGTGGTGTAAAGGTCAAGGTGTTCAAGATCATTTAATCAAGAAGTCTAGCGCAAGAGATGAAAAGGCCAAAGCACTTTGGGAGAAGATCGATGCTCAATTATGCAGTATTTTGTGGCGATCTATTGATTCCAAGTTGATGCCCTTGTTTCGTCCATTCCAGACATATTATTTGGTTTGGGAAAAGGCTCGCACTTTATACACTAATAACATATCTCGTTTCTATGATGTGATATCGCGGATAACAAATTTAAAGAAACATGAATTAGATATGTCTACTTACTTGGGACAAGTACAGGCAGTCATGGAGGAATTTGAGAAGTTGATGCCAATTTCTGCTAGTGTTGAAAAGCAGCAAGAGCAGCGACAAAAGATATTTCTAGTTCTTACTCTTGCTGGACTTCCTAATGATCTTGACTCAGTACGCGATCAGATTTTGGCTAGTCCGACTGTCCCCACAGTTGATGAATTATTCTCTCGATTACTTCGCCTTGCTGTAGCACCAAGTCACCCAGTGAGCTCATCACAGACACTTGACTCGTCTGTTCTCGTATCCCAATCCGTGGACAATCGGGCATCTCAAACTATGGAGAATAGACGAAGATGAGGTCGTTTTGGAAGATCTAGACCCAAGTGCTCTTATTGTCATAAACTTGGACACACTCGTGACGTGTGCTATTCTTTACATGGTCGTCCACCCAAAAATGCTTATGTTGCTCAGACCGAGACTACAGGTAACCATGGATTTTCTTTATCTGAAGGGGAGTATAATGAGTTCCTTCAGTATCGAGCAAGTAAGCAGACATCTCCACAAGTAGCCTCTGTTGCTCAAACTGATACTTCTGTTGCTGGTAATTCTTTTGCTTGTGTTTCCCAGTCTAGTACTCTTGGACAATCGGTTGTGGACTCAGCCGCTTCTGATCATATCTCTGGTAATAAATCACTTTTGTCAAATATTGCGTATTCACAATCTCTTCCCACTGTTACTTTAGCCAATGAGTCTCAAACTAAAGAAAAAGGAGTTGGACAAGCGAATCCCCTACCCTTTGTCACTCTAGATTCCGTTGTTTATGTCCCTAGCTGTCCTTTTAATCTTGCATTTGTTAGTCGTTTGACTCGTGCCCTCCATTGTGGTATATATTTTATTGATGATTCTTTTATTATGCAGGACCGCAGTACGGGACAGACGATTGGAACATGACTTGAATCAGAAGGCCTTTACTACCTTAACTCACTCAATTCCTCCAAGGCATGTCTAGTTACAAAATCCTCCGGACCTAATTCACAGACGTTTAGGACATCCAAGCTTATCCAAGCTTCAGAAGATGATGCCTAGTTTGTCTAGTTTATCTACATTAGAGTGTGAGTCATGTCAGCTCGGGAAACATACCCGAGCCTCCTTTCCTCGTAGTATTGAGAGTCATGCAGAGTCTGTTTTTTCTTTAGTTCATTCTGATATATGGGGTCCTAGTAGAGTCAGTTCAACCTTGGGATTTCGTTATTTTGTTAGTTTCATTGATGATCATTCAAGATGTACTTGGATTTTCTTAATGAAAGATCGTTCTGAGTTGTTTTCTATATTCCAGAATTTTTGTGCTGAAATTAAAAATCAATTTGGTGTTTCTATTCGCACTTTTCGCAGTGATAATGCCTTAGAATATTTATCCTCTCAATTTCAGCAGTTTATGACTTCTTAAGGAATTATTCATTAGACCTCTTGTCCTTATACCCCTCAGCAAAATGGGGTTGCAGAGAGAAAGAATAGGCACATCATTGAGACTGCTCGCACACTTCTCATTGAATCTCATGTTCCGTTGCGTTTTTGGGGCGATGCAGTTCTCACAGCTTGTTATTTGGTTAATCGGATGCCTTCATCTCCCATCCAGAATCAGATTCCGTATGCAGTATTGTTTCCCCAATCACCCTTATACTCTGTTCCTCCTCATGTTTTTGGGAGCACTTGTTTCGTTCATAACTTAGCCCCTGGGAAAGATAAGTTAGCTCCTTGTGCTCTCAAGTGTGTCTTCCTTGGTTATTCTCGTGTTCAAAAGGGATATCGTTGTTACTTACCTGATCTTCCTAGGTCTTTATGTCATCTGACGTCACATTTTTTGAGTCTAAACCTTTCTTTATCTCTTCTGACCACCTTGATATATCTGAGGTCTTACCTATACCGACCTTTAAGGAGCTTACTATAGCTCCTCCTTCATCTTCCGCCACAGAAGTCTTACCCATTCCAACCGTTGGGGAGTCTAGTGTGGCTCCTCCTAGATTCCCCGCCACAGGAACACCACTCTTGACATATTATCGTCGTCCGCACCCAGCAATAGGCCTAGCTAATTCACGTCCTGCACCTGACCCTGCTCCTACTGCGGACTTATCTCTTCCTAGTACACCGATTGCACTTCGGAAAGGTATACGGATCACACTTCCTAATCCCCATTATGTCGGTTTAAGTTATCATCGTTTGTCATCACCCTATTATGCTTTTATATCTTCTTTGTCCTCTGTTTCCATCCCTAGGTCTCCAGTTGAAGCATTGTCTCATCCAGGATGGCGACAGGCTATGACTGACGAGATGTCTGCTTTACATACGAGTGGTACTTGGTAGCTCGTTCCTCTTCCTTCAAGTAAATCTACTGTTGGTTCTCGCTGGGTATATGCAGTCAAGGTTGGTCCGGATGGCAAGATTGATCGCCTTAAGGCCCGTCTTGTTGCCAAGGGATATACTCAGATATTTGGGCTCGATTACAGTGATACCTTCTCTCTCGTGGCTAAGGTAGCATCAGTCCGCCTTTTTCTATCCATGACCGCAGTTCGCCATTGGCCTCTCTATCAGCTGGACATTAAGAATGCCTTTTTACAAGGTGACCTTGAGGATGAAGTTTATATGGAGCAACCACCTGAGTTTGTTGCTCGGGGGGAGTCTTGTGGCCTTGTATGTCGCTTGCGCCGGTCACTTTATGGTCTAAAGCAGTCTCCTCGAGCCTGGTTTGGTAAGTTCAGCACAGTTATCCAGGAGCTTGGCATGACTCGGAGAGAAGCTGATCACTTTGTGTTTTATCGGCACTCTGCTTCGAGTCTCTATATTTATCTGGTGGTCTATATTGATGATATTGTTATTACCGGCAATGATCAGGATGATATTACTAAATTGAAGCAACATCTCTCTCAACACTTTCAGACTAAGAACCTGGGAAAACTAAAGTATTTTCTGGGTGTTGAGGTCGCTCAGTCTAGCTCAGGTATTGTGATAGCACAACGGAAGTATGCCTTAGGCATTCTTGAGGAGACAAGAATGACAGGTTGTAGACCGATTGACACTCTGATGGATTCGAATTCTAAACTTCTGCCAGGATAGGGGGAGCCGCTTAGCGATCCTGCAAGATATAGGCGACTGGTTGGTAAATTAAATTATCTCACAGTGACTAGACCTGACATTTCCTTTCCTGTGAGTGTTGTAAGTCAGTTTATGGATTCTCCCTGTGATAGCCACCTGGATGCAGTTATCCGCATTCTTCGGTATATAAAATCGGCTCCAGGCAAAGGGTTAATTATTTGAGGATCGAGGTCATGAGCAGATCGTTGGTTACTCAGATGCTGCTTGGGCAAGATCACCTTCTGACAGACGTTCTACGTCTGGATGTTGTGTTTTAGTAGGAGGCAATTTGGTGTCTTGGAAGAGCAAGAAACAAAATGTCAATCTAATGCAGAAGCAGAATATCGAGCAATGGCTATGGCAACATGTGAGCTAATTTGGATCAAACAATTGCTCAAGGAGTTGAAATTTGGTGACATCAGCCGGATGAAACTTGTGTGCGATAATCAAGCTGCCCTTCATATTGCATCAAATCCGGTATTCCATGAGAGGACTAAACACATTGAGATTGATAGTCACTTCATCAAAGAAAAGATACTCTCAGGAGATATTGCTACAAAATTTGTGAAGTCGAATGATCAGCTTGCTGA